ATGGGAAAATATTTTTGTAAACTATGTGTCAGGTAAGGGACTGATAACCAGAATTCACAAGGAACTCAAGCAGCTGTTCCGAAAAACGATGATCAATTCTATTAAAAGATGGGAGAATGAGCTGAAAAAACCATTCTCTAAAGATGACATACAAATAGCTAAAAGGCATATGAAAAAATGCTCAACATCCCTCATTGTAAGGGAAATGTAGATCAAAACAACAATGAGGTACCACCTAAGCCCAGTCATAATGACTAAGATTAAAAAAAAAAATGATAAGTGCTGGTGGTGGGTCTGGTGAAAAGGGGACTCTCTTACACTGCTGGTGGGAATGAAAATTGGTCCAACCACTGTGGAGAACAATTTGGAGATTCCTTAAAAATCTACAAATAGAACTACCATATGATCCAGCAATCCCACTCCTTGGTATCTACCCAAAGGACAGAAGAATACTTAATCGGAAAAGTGCTTGCACATCAATGTTTATTGCAGCACTATTCACAATTGCTAAGTCATGGAAACAACCCAAATGCCCATGAACAGATGAATGGATAGAAAAACTGTGGCAAATATACTCAGTGGAATATTATTCAGCCCAAAAAAGCAACAAAACCCTCGCTTTTGACAGGAAGTGGATGAATGTGGAAGATTTACTGCTGAGTGAAGCAAGCCAGGCTATGAAGGAGAGGCATTGTATGTTCCTGCTTAATATATACCAAGTGTCTGCACTCTATGACTGAAACTAATTCACTAAAGGATATAGAAACACAGTATATAGATGTAAATACCAGATATAGTATGTGTGCAAGAAGAGAGTCTGAGGAAGGACATTTAGAAGAAAAATAGGGAGACAAAGTATTGATGTCACAGGGAGGTATAGTATTGTCTATCGAGGATGTTTTGTGGTTTTGTCAACTGTGCTGGGGAGAGATGTTCACCTGTTGAAATATCTATTTTGTAAGACAAATAATAATGTGATTGAATGTATAAAAGAAAATGAAATTAAAAATAAATAAATTGATTTTAAAGAAAGAGGAGAAAGAGGGAAAGGGGAATAGGTTTTCCTGTTCTCAGTGGGCTTCAGGCTTTCATTGTTGCCAAACTATTTTTACATGTATGATAAATATCAGATTTTGAAAATATATTCCTTTTCTGTTTTTTTATAAACCTGGTCCCAAAAGCTCTTCAGTTCATATAACCTGAGAAAGTCCTTAATCAAGATAGAGGAACTTCTGATATAAATGAAGTCTTTCCTTTTGACCTGGAGGGTTGTGATCAAAATAACAGAGAACAATGATATAAGTGGACAGACTCCTGAATCCTAGTTTATCCTCCTCCAGATTACAATCTGGAATACGGTAGAAGGGGAGATGTATATAAACTGGGGGAGATCCAGGTACAGAAGCAGAGGGACTTTGCCCCAGTCCCTGTTTAAAACTAAGGACATTGTTGCATCGAGGAGCTTCCACAAGCTGGTCCTACCACAGAACAATGAAGATGGCAGAGCAGGGATTGCTCAGAGGGGATATGGAAGGACTCCAGAAGTTCTCAGACTCCTCTACCAGAGACAAGGCTGGTAACATAAGCAGCAGCCTTAGGACCCTGCCATAGGGCCTCTGTGGCTAAGGGGGGGGAACCCAGGGGTGCAGAGTTAGGCCCCTGCCATAGGGCCTCTGTGGCTAGGGGCTGAGACTCGAGGTCTGCAGATCCTACCATGTAAAGTGGAGTGGCTATAACTGAACTGAGGACCCATGCTGACCTCAGGGAAGTGTCACTGCCAGGCCCTGGGTTCCTGGTTGAACCAGTTGTCCAACAGGGAAGCACAAGTCCAGATAGGACCTGCACTCATAGCAAGGGCAACAACCCCTGCCATAAGGGGGTCCACGCACCCAGACATCTTCTGGTAGAGATGTGGGAAATGGACAGAGAGAAAATTAGAAAGATGTTTCACCTACTGTGTGTGGAAAAGAATGGACTTTGCACAAAAACGAAGTTCAGCCTTTGCTCCTAACAGATCATCTTTAACTCTTGGAATGTTCTGCCTGTCCAGCATAGTTGTTTACCCGAGGGCCTTACAGCATTCCAGATAGTCTATGCTAACAATGGGTTATGGCGAGGCTTTGAGCTATGCAGTATCAGCTCAACATCTGAGGTAGAGCTAGAAGCTAATATCAGTCATGCACATGGTCACCCTCATCTACCAGGAGTCAACTATAGCTATGTGACCATGCTCCATACAATCTCTGGACACCAAGGCTCAGGCGAATGTCTCTGGCTGTTAGTACTCTGAGCATTTCTTATACCCTGCTGGGAGGAGTCAGCTCTGTCCATGGCTCCACTGGAGGAGGAGAAATGGAAGCTTTGCAGTCGGAACTGTTCTGGACGCTGCCTCTAAATGCCTTTTCCACTGACCAATTTTAGTCTGTATTCTTTTGCTATAATAAACTGCCAGTGCAAGTGTGAATTCTGTGAATCCTTTAGTGGATTACTGAACCTGAAGGTGGTTTTAGGGACTCTTGATCTCCACATATCCCAGAGACCGAGCCATCTACAGCGACGGTAAAAAGACTGCATCTATTAAAGCAAATCAAGCCTCACAGTCTTGGCAAATTTGAGTGGTGCTTTGTATATATGTGACCCTACTACAGAAGCAAGGGCTCGTTGCCTTTCCAAATAAAGCACGAGTGAAGGAAACAAGCTTGTTTGCTCTTTTTTCCTTGGGATAAGAAAGGGGACAAGAGCAGCCTCTAAATATGTAAAATTGCCATTTAAGAAGGGGATTAGCATCAGTGTGTGTTTAGCTGGAGGGTTATATAAAGCCCAACTGGCGGAAATTTTGGAAGGCCAAATTTTACTTGAGACAGCCAGAGGTCTCTAAAAACACATAGGACTAACTCAAAGAGAGTTGATTTCCCCATCGCCAAAGATTGTTAAGTGGAGTCTGATGACCCTGTCCTGAGTTCGTGCATGGTGTGAGAGTGGGCCCAGGAGGCTCTCAGGTACATTCTGAGTTGACTGGAGTGATTGGGATATACAAGAATGTGGCAAAATGCCAATAACTGGCAGTTAGTCCACATACATCATTCTTTCAACTTGTCGGTAGGTTTGAAATTTTTTAAAAATTGGAAAATGAAAAAGGGAAACATGACTGGTAAACTCTAATACTTGATGGATAAAAATCCTCCATCATTCTAGTAAAAAAAGCAGAACGTTTTTTTAACACATTAGGATTGAAGTCAGCATACTGGATATGGCATCTGACAACAATATATGATATAGTTTCTCCATTGTATCATTCTCAGTACACCTACATGGTCAGTCTTCATGCATTTAGTGATTGCTATGAATTAAGTCGTCCCCCTCCTGCCATTTCACATGTTGAAGCCCTAATCCCCAGTGTGACTGTATTTGGAGACAGGGCCTTTAAAAGATAATTAAGATGAAGTGAGGTTAGACGGTTAGGGTTCTAATTTGGTAGCGTTAGTGGCCTTGGGACCAAAAGATGACATAGTGGTTATACCGCTGGACGTAATCTGCCACGTAATCTGCCACGGTTTGAGTCCTATACCCGGCATCTAAAAACTCATGCCAGGCACGTGTGTGTGTGTACCCAAGATCCTGAGAGGAGGATGGAGGAGAAAGGACTGTGATGTATGGCCATGCCCCCTGGGGGGTGATGCCTCATTTTCTGTCTCTCTGGTGAGTGCATGTGCCCTATAGCAAAAATCACTATTAAAAAAAAAATGGTGGCTTTATTAGAGAGAGATCGAAATCCAAATCTCCTTCTCCGATGTGAGGATATAGTGAGAAGGCCAGGGAGAAGGTATTTACATGGAACTGCCATTGAATCTTACTTTTGGACCATCCAGCTTCAAGAACTGAAAAAAAAATAATAAATAAGGTTGTTTGTTTTTTACCATAAGGTATGTGCACTTGCCAGAAGGAAATAGAGAAACGGAGAAAGGAAAGTGAGAAATCATCTCCTCTCCCCCCACCTCCGGGGAGGGGCTAACTATGCTGCACTCTTTTCTCCTCCATTCTCCTCCGGGGATTTTGGGCATGTACTTGCTCCTGGTGCCTGGAGTGATTGCAAGCTGCTGGGTCTGGGGCTTCAAGTATGTGGGAGTCCAGAGCCTTAGCTATGACACCACCTACTGGCCCCCATAAATGCCTATTTGTAAACCATCCGATCTATGGTATTTTGTTATGCCAGCCTTAGCAGACTACGGCAGTGATGTGGTAGTGATCTCAGTGATTTATTAACTTATTTCCTGCCTGTAAAGTAGTATGCAAATTATTATGGCTCTTACACGCCATCGGTATGAACTCATTTGCAGAGGCAGACAAGCATCCATAGGACATTTCTGGACAGAGTTTTCAGGTGTGCTACCTTGCATGCACACAGGAAGTGGTGACAGCAAGTACTGTAGGATTGACTCCAAAGCCTCTTGTACTCAGAGGAAATGGCAAGAGAAAATCATGGAACTTGTGGGTAACAAGCCACTGTAAGAGCTAAGAATGACTCAGGTAGGTGACCACTAATGAAACCAAAATTAGGGTTTACTGGTGTAAACACTAGCTTCTCTACATATATTGATATCTAAGGAGATGGTACTAGAATTTTACTATGGCCAAAATCCTACCGGCTCAGAATTATTAACAGATTAGAGAGTGCTGGAGGATTTCCTGATCTTAACTGGAGCAGCATCACCTGCTGGACACCATCAACATGTGAATTCTCCTACCCTGATGGAACTGAGCAAAGTTTCTAGATCCCTCTGCTGCTCCTCTTCTGGACCCTCTTCTTGTTTCCTGCTACTGCCAGATACTTCTTTCCTGTGCTCATAAATACAAATGGCCTATGTATGTGTTGTTTTCATTGTTTCCTGAAGATTTGTTTCTTATATATGATGTATGTTAGGTGAATGAATCCATGAAATCTGTCAGGGAGTTTTTAATAAGAAAGATAGTCCTTGATTTTGCAGAGTAATGCCTTGAAAAGGGGAGCTAATCCATGAGTATGTTGCTTCAAAAGCTCAGTTCTTTTCCCAAATACAGTTGTGTATGTGAGTGTGTGTGTGTGTGTGTGTGTGTGTGTGAAAGTAGCATAACTTGCCTAGTTTCCTGACTCTGTATCTGACCAGACCTCTAGGCTCCAAATCATTCTTCTGCCTCACATCTCCTACTTCACCCTTAACCCTTGCTGGCTCCCCAGACATTGAGACTAATCCTGACCTTAGTTAGAGGATCAGTTCTAGCAGTATGAGTGTGGGACTTGTTAGAAGATGTGGTTCTGGAGCCTTATCTCCAAGCCCACTCCCCTTAGCTCAATCTCTAGCCCCTGTACTCAATATTGCCCTTTTCCTGTTAGGTCTGTACCCCTTTCTCAATTATCTTCCTAGATCGTTCACTTTCTGGGGCTCTCATGACAGGGAACTGTTGGGAGAAAGATCTGAATGGAAGAAAACTTTGGGTCGGTCAAGGATAGCTGAAATGTAGAATTGGGGAGGTTGTGTACCAGCAAAGCACAGCGCCAGGGAAGTGAACGTGTAGGAAGTTAATTAGATTGTTACTTTGTCGCCAACATCTACAGAAGGGAAGGAAAGGAAGTCAGACTGTGATGTAATCTCAAATAAAGTCTCAGCTGCTTCTGTGAGGAGTTCTGAAGATGGGATGAACCTTCAGAGGTGGTTTACCTCCAGGGCAAGAGGTCCCAGCCTTCATACCGTCCATTAGCCGCTGGCCACAGGCTTCCATCACAGGTCATGACTTGGCTGAGCAGGATCTCTCTAGCAGTAACACTCTAACGGGGCTGATCCAGAGGGCTGCCGTCCCACAGTGAGAAGAATAAGCACACACAATCTCTGGCACTGAGGGAGAGAAGAAAAGAAAGAAGGGAGGGAAGGAAGGAAGGGATACATTGAACTAAGTAAAGTGTAAATATTTATTGATTTATTTGCTTTTAATTGCTAGAGGGTGTGTGGTTTGGGTAGGGGAGAAAGCACTTCCCCAAAAGGGCACGGTAATACCACAATCCCTTTTCCTCTATTTCTCCTTCCCATCAAGATTTTGGGCATGCACACACAAATGCCCAGTGTGATTTTCAAGCTGCTGAGGTTGATATTCAAACCATGGTTGGCCATGTGGGATCCTGCTCCCTTAACCACTATGTTATGGGGGCTGGCCCAAGTGTAAAGAATTTTAGCTAGTACTTCAGTAACAATGATAAAACCAACTATGTAGACTATAAATTATGTGGTCCCAAAAAGGCAATTTCCCATAATCTTCAAGAGTTGATGAAAATATTCACACAAGACTCACCATGACTTAGATTAATGTGAACATTCCAGCATACATTAATTTAAGTATATGTAACTATAATAATAACAACAACACATAACTGTGTTTACTATGTGTGAGCATTGTTTTAAGAAGTGTGTGTGTTTTGAAAACCTCACAATTCTATAAAGCAGATATTTTTATTATCCCCACTTCAGAGATGAAGAAGTCAGTAAATAATATAATATACACTGGGTTGTCAGAAGAGTCATAACACATTTTTGCATAGAAAAACATGTCATGACTTTTCTGACAACCAAATAGTAAGAAATATAGTATAGAGTCAATGTCAATTCTCAAGAATGTTATAACCACTTTGCCAGCAGCACAAAGGAAGAATCTGTCTTTCCCTTTCCTGTCTCTGTATCTAACCCATTGACTAGACCTCTAGGCTCCAAATCTTCCTTTTGCCTCACATCTCCTACCTAACCTTTAACCCTCCCCAGACTCTGAGACTAATCTGGATCTTAGTCAGAGGACCTAGCAGTATGAGTGTGGGACTTATAAGAAGATGCAGTTCTGAAGCCTTATCTCCAAGCCCACTCCCCTTAGTTCAATCCCTAGACCCTGCACTCAACATGGCCCTTTTCTTGTTATGTCTGTACCCCTTTCTCAATTATCTTCCTAGATCATCCACTTTCTGGGTCTCTCAATTGGGGGGGGTTGCACTGTTGGGAGAAAGATCTGAAAGGAAGAAAACTTTAGGTCTGTGGGGATGGTTGCAAAACAGAATCAGGGAGGCTGCATAGCACAGTGCCAGGGACAGGGGGAATGTGTGTGTGTGTGTGTGTGTGTGTGTGTGTGTGTGTGTGTGTGAATATGTAGGAAGTTCATTCGATTATAACTTTGTACACCCAGATCTCTGCTAAAGCCTACATAGAGGCAAGAATGATAATAGCCCTGGTGCCTCCAGGACACTGGAGAAAGCTATTTCAAGGGCAAACACATTTGATTGACCCCAAAGAATGAGAGGTTGTTCTTTCCAGAAGAGAGAGTAGAATCAAGAGAGTTAGACAATAATCTTTACCCTACTTCCTGCTTCTCTTTTTCACTAATTATGCCTTCAGGTTCTGTACAACCAGCTCCCAGATTCCTCTGGAGAAAGTTGGTGACCATTTTGACCAAAGATTGATTGTACCACACCCTACTACAGTCATGTGCATTAGAATATTTAACTCTTTTGTTTTCCTAATAATCTCTTTTTCACATTTACTTGTGAGCCCCTTAAGAGACTTATTACTTAACAGTGTCTTCTGTGCTAGGACAGTGACTGAGGCTGAAATATTTTAAAGGAATTGGTTGGTTGTCCATTGAAGCAGGCTAAGGGTAAACCATGGAAGATACACCCACCCCCCTAGACCTTGTAGTCATGGTGAGCCAACTATTTGTTTACAAAGGCCTCATTTCAAAGTTTTTGGAGGGCAGGACAGAGAACTAGGCTGGCAGAGTAATTTTTCAGGAATCTGCTCCTATTTGCAAGGTGTTGCATCATAAAATCAAATCTAAGTATGTTTATGTGGCATATTCATTTTTTCCTTCTTACTGAAGATGGGAGAGAGGAGGAGGTGATACAGAGGAAATGTCTTTGATTTCCCATTCAAAACAATAGTATAATTTCAAATCTTATAAGCCATCACACAGTTCTGTTGGTTGATTGTTTTTTAGTGATTCTATCCTGCCAGGAGACAATATAAATAACTTGTTGAAATTTCATTCCACAGTCCTGGGAATTTTTACAAATAAAATAACACATGTGCTGAGACAAATTACACACTTCAAAATCTGTCACTAACATCAGTTTCGCATAAAAAACTACTCAGCAACTGTTACAGTGGCATTTCTTTTGCTGATGGTGGAAATAATGTGTGAATAGCTATGTTAATTTAGAGACAATTTCCAATTCACAACTACATAAAAAAGAAAGATTAGTTCAATAGGCAATGTTCAACAGTGGAGTTTGGTTAGACTTTATTGTTGATTTACTATATCTTGACAGACCAGTATGATTGAAATAAATTAAATGTTAGACATACTTAATATTTGATATGCTATATGTCATCATAACAGCAAAGTGCTTAGATCACATTATTGACTGCCTTTGGATTTTTAAAAATAAAAATCATTCTTCAGATGAATACCATTTCATTATTGCCTGCACAGCCTGTCAAATTAAAAAATATAATAGCAAGAAGAGAGACTGCAGAGTGAGCAGCAGGGATAAGTACAGAGCTGCAGAGAGTATGGCTCATATCCTCCCACATGCCTCTGAACTCTCAGCTGAAACTCCACAGCTCAGCCCAGGTCTACCTATTCCCTAGAAACTGTGAGGCCTTTGTAATATTCAGCTCCAAAGTAAAAAGCACAGGTTGCTTGATGAGCATCAGGGAAACGAAACTACAGAGATATTAGAAATTAGAAAGACATGTATAATCTATCCAAGAAATTAGAAAGACATGTATAATCTATCAGATGACCAGAAACCACTGCAGAGGAACAAGAAATAAGAGAAAGCAAGAAAATATCTTTCCCTTAAGGTAAAAGAACAACCCTTCATCATCCACAGACAGTACAATAGAACTCGTGGAGATGTCTGATAAAGAATTCAGGCTATTCATAGTGACAAAACTGAATGAGATGCAAGAGATGAGAGACAATGAAATCCAGAAGGTACAAGAGAAAAGAGACAACAAGTTTCAGAAGGTGAGGAAGTTCTTTCACAATTTGAAAAGAAGAAATATGTGCCATAAAAAAAGAACCAAATGGACCTGTTAGAGAAGAAGGGTTGTGATAAAAGAAATCAAAACCTCCCTCAAAATTATTAAAAGCAGGTTAGATCGAGCAGAAAATCAAATCTCAAATGTTGAAGACAAAACCTCTGACCTAGAAAAAAAATCACCAGAAAGACAGAAAACAATCCTCAAAAATAAGAATAATATACGAGAAATACTAGATACCATTGAACACCCAAACATCTGTGTAATCGGTATCCCAGAAGGTAAAAGAAAACTAATAAGGGCATTGATAACCTAGTCCAGGAACTCCTGGAAGAAAATTTTCCTAACTTGGAGAGGCAGTCAAATATCCAGACCCAAGAAATACAAAGGACATCTAATAGAATCAACCCAAGAAGATCTTCTCCAAGGCACATCATAGCCAGACTCGCCAAATCCACAGACAGAGACAAGATACTAAAATAGGCAAGAAATGTCAAGTTACTTACAAAGGTTATCCCATCAGGCTAACATCAGACCTCTCATCAGAAACAAGGCAAGGAAATGAATGGGAAAATAAATACAAAGTGTTAAATGAAAAACAATTTCAACCAAGAATACTATACCCGGCAAGATTATCCCTCATATGTGAAGAAAAGATGAAAACATTCTCAGGTAAACAAAACCTGAAAGAATTTACCAACACCAGAAGTTCTGAAGCGAGTCCTTTACCAGGAAAACTAAAGGCAAAAAACAGAAATAACAGAACAAAAATCAAGCAAGAAAAAGCTAGGGACAAGTCTGGAAATATCAATAATAGCATTGAATGCTAACTTACAGGATTTAAATGGAAAGATCAGACCACAGTAACACTGCAAATTCAACAGAAGAGAGATTAATTACATGAGACTGGACTGGTGAAATGGAATTTTATGACTTTTGAGTAAAACATTAGTGATTTTTTTACTATGCTTTGTTTCTAGATTTAAGATTTGCTTTTCCAGATTTTCTTTCTTTTGAGCTGTTGATAGGTATAGCAATTTGTTACAATGTCTTCTTTTGCTTGTTTGTTTGTTTTTTTAAATTGAAACACAAACTTTTCTCCCTTCTTGACCCCTCTGGAATTGGAAAATATTTGTTAGTATTCTTATTTTGTGGCAGAAGGGTTATCTGCATAAGTTCAATAATACCTGTTGCCTTGCATCAGAAATTGGAAATACTCGTCATTGCCAGGGCTTTGACTGGAATGTCATATCTGGAGATATGACCAGAAAATTATGAACTAAAGTAGATCTCAAGAAAGTCATCAGAAGCTCTTGGAAAGATTGTCTGGCACCATAAACAGTTCTGCCTAGCAGAGAGGATTAGAGAAGCCATATGAAAGAATTCATACCATAAAATAACCTGGACTTTTCCAGCCCAGCATGCTAAACAATAGAGATTGGAAAAGAGCAGCCACAACCACAGGATTACCTTGAGGAAGACTTTGAAGGAAGAAAAAGACTGATCTTTGCTAACAGGTGATAAACCACAGAATACTTGGTAAGCAGAACTGAGTTGGGAAGGTTCATGTGTGAATTGTGTGTTGGGTGTTTGCTTCTCAACAGTTGACATGTAAATATTTTCTCAAAAATATTTAAAACCATACTGTCTCTGTTATAGAGTCACAAATAAAATTATAACAAGTATTTTGAAAGTTATATAACTCTTTAAAATTCGGGTTTTTTTTTTTTTGAAAGTTTGGAAGTTGTTTATTAACTGTTAAGAACTATGAAAGCCAAAATTTTTTACATATAAAGTAAATGTCTGTGGGAAAATGT